TTCTTTCTTTCTTTCTTTCTTTCTTTCTTTCTTTCTTTCTTTCTTTCCTTCCTTCCTTCCTTCCTTCCTTCCTTCCTTCCTTCCTTCTCTCTCTGTCACTATCTAGTTATACAATGTATCATCATGTATTAATCACATTTGTATAGCCGCTCATCTTATAAAAAGCAACTCTAAGTGACGTACAAAAATTGAATAAAACAATAAATGTAAAAAGTTATAAAAATATAAATCATATTAAAAATAAATATTATAAAAATATACAAACCTCAGGCAAAGAAAGGATAAAAATGGCTACCTCAGCAATGGAGCTATCTAAGCATGTCTTGGTTTCCTAGGAGCCCCAGGCTTTAACAGCCTCCCAGAATGTAAAAAGGGTTGGAGGTAATCTAATCTAATCTTGAGCATGTTCCTTAAGGCAGCCACCACAGCAAAGAAGGCACATCTCTTAGGACTCATCAAATGTAGGTTCTTAGCTGATGGTGCATGCAGTAGGCCTTTTCTACCAGATCTAATTGGCTACTTGGCAGAGGCGGTCCATCAGATAGCCTGGTCTCACACCATGAAGGGTTTTAAAAGTTAAAACCAGTACCTTGAATTGGAGGTGGAAGCAAACTGGCAACCAATGTAGCTCATAGAGCAGATGTTTAACATGCACTACTCTAGGAGCACACATAGTTGCCTGAACTACTGTATTCTGTACCAGCTTAAATTTCTGGGTAGTCTTCAATGGCAGCCCATGTAGAGTGCATTGCAGTAGTCCAATATGGTGGTGAATAGGGCATAAGTGACTGAAAAAAAGAGACTACCAATCCAGAAACGGGTGCGATTGGTGCACAATTCCCAGCCACATTTGGATTATGGACTGATTTGCAGGTATTTGCAGGTATTTACAATGACAGTTGGTTTTAAAAGATATATATTTAAAATTTATCAAGCCATCGAGAATTAAGATAAGGTAACCTTTATTGTCATTTTTTTCTGTGAATACATTAAAAATGAAATTCCGATGCCTGCTCTCAAAAGAAAATAAACATATACCTATACATAGACATGCACACACATATTCATATGCTACACACACACACACACACACACACGAGAGAGAGAGAGGAGGGGGGAGAGGTCTGGTGTGTGTGTATATATAGACACAATTACTGGTCATAGAAACAGCCAAATAATTATGCAACACTGAAAAGCTAAATCTGCAGCTGCTTTGAAGCACTGAAATACTTGTGAATATTTGAATAGGTTTTGAATTGTCAGAGGGGCAAGAAAGGAGATATTTGAGAAATCTATTCATATTTTCTTGTCTTCTCTACAATATTAATATCCATTTTGTTTTCCTTTTATAATTTATATGTAGGCTTATATTATTACTCCTTGACTCAGATTACAAAGCTGTCAATACTTCTACAATTCTGAAACGTTTATGTTATTACAATGAAAATTGTTGTTTA